AGACCAAAGGCAGGACTTCTGGACTATGAGCTCAGGCCATGCAGGGTGTGTGAGGTAAGGTGGGATGGGGTAGAGGGTCAGGTAGCATTGAACCTACCATCTACCTGGCTCCATACTCAGGTAAGAGGAGAGCTGAGATCATCCCCTCAGCTGGGGCCCCACAGCCCATCCTCACACCACTCCCAACAACTAGTCGCCAGGAGGATGCAGTGGTGGTGACCAAGATGGACAGAGATGCGGGTGGAGATGGGAGGAGGGAAGAATGTAGCATAGTTGAGGGAGGAGAGCTGAAGGACAGGGAGCTAGGCCAGCTGAGCACAGACCCCAAGTCACTGTGGGACAACTCAGAGAAGCAGCTTTTGTTATTTTCTCATCATGACTCACAGCAAGAAATACATTTTAGGACTTCCGGTGGTCTAGGGGTTAGGACTCCACGTTTCCACTGCAGGGGGCATGGGTTTGATCCTTGGTCAGGGAGCTAAGATCCCACAAGCCTCGTGGAGTGGCCAAAAAAAAAAAAAAAATACATTTTACATCATGACCCAGTACCTATATTTATGCAGGCATATAGAAAAACTGAAATAAAGTCACAAAGTGGTTGTGTATCATGCTACAGGTGAGGTACCCTGGCACATGCTGGTCTCACAGCTTACTAGTGGGTCACAGCTGGCAACTTGAAACAACTGGTCCTATTCAGTATCAGTCATTTCAGAGAGCCTTTGAGACTTTGGGATTCCTGCTCTGCACTGTGCTCCCAACCAGCTGCAAGTTGGCTGCATGCAGACACCGCGCTCACGCTGGCTCTGGACATGACAGGACTTGAAGGCCAAGTCACACACAAACCAGAGGACTGTCCGTAGGAGGCAGCAGCAATGAGGCCTCCACGTGCCACCCAGATCCTCAACCTGAGAGCCTCCTGCTACCAGTGAACACCAAGGATGAGCATCCGCCCATCACCCGCAGTTGAACCAGAAAGCAGAGGGCAGTGTCCCTGCCTCTCCCAGCCGGCATACACTGATGAGGCCCTGTGTCTTCTCCCCTCCATGGACCTGAGCCGAGCCTCTCTCCGCATCACAGCCCAGAGAGTGCTGGCCAGTGGCACTGTTCACAAACAAGATGCCACTGCTAGGGGCTTCCCTCGTGGTCCAGTGGCTAAGATTCGGTGCTCCCAATGCAGGGGGGCCTGGGTTCGATCCCTGGTCAGGGAACTAGATCCTGCATGCCACAACTAAGAGTTCACAAGCTGCAAATAAAGTCTTAGCATGCCCTGTCTGGAGATCCCACACACTGCAATGAAGATTGAAGATGCTGCGTGCTGCGGGTGAGACCCGGCGCAGTCAAATAAATAAATGGAAAAATAAATAAACGTTAAAATTTTAAAAAAAGATGATGCCACTGCTCTTGGAAGCTTCCAGGCCTTCCTGAGGCTGGGCCAGAGGCATCTTTTGAAGAGGTCCCTTCAGATGCACCTGGAGCTTGTTTCAGAGCTGCTTGTTCTTTACTTACTGAACTAAAGCTTTAAGGAGATTCATGCACCTCCAATTTATTGCTTTAGAAAACATTTTTCTGAGAATCTTCCAATCCCCTCTGAGAGCTCTGAGGGGAAAAATAAGCCAAACTGAAGACATCCTAAGTTCCTTTCACAATTATCCCAATGAGCTCCTGCGGGAGATTGTCTACAACCAGCCAACAGTGCAAAGCTATTTCCATAATGAAGGAGCATGCAGCCCTCACCTACTTCACTGTGATTACAGCCCTCCTCCCTCCAACCTGGGCTGTAAAGGCTGTGGCCTGGTCTTGCACTGGTCTGGGAGTCAGGAAACCATCCAAGTAACTAGGATGGGCTGGAGAGAGGTAGAACGTAGAAGTAAGGAGATTCTGGCAAGGAACCAGCACTGCCCCTCTCTACCCATGTGCCCCTCTCTCCATCTGGTGTGGGGAGAATGCCCAGGGCATCCCACAGTGGAGCAGTCCTGTGATCAGCCAAGCATCTCTAGGAGCCATTGGGCACCTGGGGAAAACTTGCAGGCAAGGGCATTCCCCAGTATCCCCATGACCCCCAGGCCTGGGCAGCAGGAGACTGTCACAGACTGAACTGACTGGGAAACATAGCCCAGTGGCTGAAGTCCCTGTTACCTGGCCAGGTGTGCAACAGACACTTGACCATGAAGGCCGGGGGGATCTTAGTGCCTCAGTTTCTACATCTATCAAATGGGATGATCACCCTCTTGTCTTGGGCCTGCACATGAGCATTCTTGGTAAACTGCAAGATGCTTCCATGTGCAGAGTTATTACTGCCACTCTGTAGAAAGGAAGAGATATGTGTACAAAAGAATAAGCTAAAACAGCTGATCTAGGTTCTGGGAGCTGTTGCTGCTAAGGAATGTTGTCAGCCTTGCTGGAGGGAGGAAGATTAGGGGATCTGTCACCCTGTACTTCTCATTTTGGGGAGAGTCACTCCTTATACTACAGCCAGAAGAGATGCCCACTCACCCTGCTCTTCCGCTTGAGGAAAAGCCACCTTCTGGGGCAAGGGTTTGGGGAGGGTCGGAGAACCACCACATGAAAGCGGAGAAGAAGCTTAGAGAAAGGATGCGAGTCTTTCAAAGATACAGTCAGGAAGTGAGGAAGCCATTGGCCAATACTTATCCTGACTTGCCTGCCTGCAGCTACCCACCCAGCTCTGGTCTTGACATTAGCCCAAACAAGTAGCCCTTTCTTGGTTACTGCCCCACTTGGAAAAGCAGAAGACATCAGGAATGCCTCGAAGAATAAAAGGCAGCCGAAGAAGGGCCCAGCAAGGAGGGCCTGGCCAAGAATGAAGAGCTCAGGGCAAGACCCCAGTGATCTGAAAAGTAAAAGTCATTCAGTCATGTCTGACTCTGCAATTCCCTGGACTATACAGTTCAGTTCAGTTCTGTCGCTTAGTCATGTCCGACTCTTTGCGACCCCTTGCACTGCAGCACACCAGGCTTCCCTGTCTATCACCAACTCCCGGAATTTGTTCAAACTCATGTCTATTGAGTAGGTGATGCCATCCAACCATCTCATCCTCTGTCTTCCCCTTCTCCTCCTACCTTCAATCTTTCCCAGCATCAGGGTCTTTTCCAATGAGTCAGTTCTTCGAATCAGATGGCCAAAGTATTGGAGTTTCAGCTTCAACATCAGTGCTTCCAATGAATATTCAGGACTGATTTCCTTTAGGATGGACTGATTTGATCTCCTTGCAGTCCAAGGGACTCTCAAAAGTCTTCTCCAACACCACTGTTTAAAAGCATCAATTCTTCGGTGCTCAGCTTTCTGTAAAGTCCAACTCTCACATCCGTACATGACTACTGAAAAAACCATAGCTTTGACTAGACGGATCTTTGTCAGCAAAGTAATGTCTCCACAGTCCATGGGATTCTCCGAGTCTGAATACTGGAGTGGGTGGCCTTTCCCTTCTCCAGGGGATTTCCCTAACCCAGGGATCGAACCCAGGTCTCCCACACTGCAGGTATTTCAGTTCGATTCTTTACCAGCTGAACCACCAGGGAATCCCAAGAATACTTGAGTGGGTAGCCTGTCCCTTCTTCAGAGGATCTTCCCAACCCAGGAATTGAACCAGGGTCTCCTGAATTGCAGGCGGATTCTTTACCAACTGAGCTATGAGGGAAGCCCTAGGTGGTCAGGAGCTATACAGTAAACAGGCACTTCTGTTTAAAGATAGCACAAGGGCCCAAGAGGCCAGGGGTTGCCAACCCAGGGGCCAGCCATTCAGTGATCCTGGTCTTGGGATGGCAGGTCTGAACCACAGCCCACCCCTAGGGCCTTCCCAGAGGCCAGACAAGGGGAAACTCAATAGGGCTGAGTTTTAGAATCATGTACTCTTACCCTGGCATTTCTGTGGTCTCACTGTGCAACCCCATACTCTCTCATAACCTCTCTGAGCCTCAGTTTACACACCTGTAAAAGGATGGACCCCAAAATTCAGAGCTTAGCTGGTTCCCCCTCCCACTCAGCCAGAGCCTGAGCCCTGCAGGCAGCATCCTTGATAGAAGGGAGGCTCACAGTGCACTAGGCAGCGCCAAACCACCAGAGACCTCTTGCTTTTAATCTAATAGCATAATGCCTGCAAAAGAGCTTACAAAAATGAATGCATAACTGAAGCGGGTTATTATTAACCATCAACATTAGAGGCAATGTGAGAGAAGGCAACATGCAGCTGGAGACGGGCTTCCAGAGCTTGCCAAAGCAGCTGCAGGAGGAGCCGAGGAGGAGGGGTACCGAGGGACCCTGTGAGTGCCGGACTCTCTCTTGGGGAGGCTAGACAGCAGTCGGAGAGGATGCTCAGGCCAACTGAGACCAGGAGGTATGCAAGTGTTACAAAAGGAGGAAAGGAACTTCCACCTCAGAGGAACCCAGCTTGCTAGGGTCTGCTGTTTGCAGGAGGCACACCTCCAACTCAGAGGGAGAGACCTCTGCTTCCCTGAGGGGGAGCATATTTGTACTGGAAGGCACAGAGAGGCTGTTCCGAACATGTTTGCCTAGGGGCTCCTGCTTAATAACGGCAAAGAGCTCCTGTGAAGCCAGGGAGGGAGAGCCAGGGACTCAGGCAGGAGTTAACACATAGAAGGTCTGAACTGAAGGGTCGTAAAGGCAGCCAAGGCTGGCAGATGGAGACAAGAGAAGGAGAGCTTGAGGTCCAAGATGGCCCAACTAGTTCAGGGCTCGCAGTGTGAAAAACCAAGACCTTCTACCTGCCAGGTGAAAGTAAGCATCCAGCCTGGCCCCTGGCAGGCAGCAGGACCTCATAATAGTTACCTTTCTAGGCTCAATGCCCTGTACTCAGGAAACTCAGACCAGACAGCCCAACCTTGCACTCTTGTCTATGAAACTCTGCCTCCAGAGCCCCATGCCTTGTGCCCCAGAAGGCCCTGTGAGCCTCAACTCAGGCAAGGGAGCTCAGGGTAGGCTCTGCAGACAGAGGAGGAGCAGGGCCATGGGCTGGGTCCACTCACCCACAATCTCATTCTCTTCCAGATTGATGTTCTCCAGTGCAGGCAGGGTGGTGAGCTGCTCAGGGAAGTCGTGGAACTGGTTCCGGGACAGATCAATGGCCTTGAGGTGCTGCAGGGTGCTGACCTCATTGGGAAGGCGGTGCAGGAAGTTCCCTTCCAGGTGGAGTTCTGCCAGGTAGGAAGGAAGAGTAAGGAGCGGGGAAGCAGAAACAACCCAGAGCCCACAGTGACTGCTGGCTGCCTGGGCCAGGAAGGCTGCGAGGAAACCCAGATGCAAAGGAAGTCCTTCCAAAGGGCACATTCCATATTCATGCACAAGGAGGGGTAACCCCGACCACTGCCACCCATCATTCCAGCTGGGGTCCTGCTTTTGGCTTTGGAAAGCAAGGCTCTCATCCCTGCTTAGGATGGCACATCTGGGGTCCTTCCTGAGGTTGGTTTAGGGGTGACAGCATCCTTGCACTGAGGTATCCAGAGTGACCAGACAGGTTTTCCTTACTGCAGCTCAAACAGGCTCTTGAATTTGTTCCCCCCATTCCCTCTCACCTGGACCACTCTGGCAGCCTCCTCCCTGGACTCTTGCCTCCAGCCCCTTTCCAATCAACGCTGCACAGTGGGACCTATTTCACTTCATGAGCACAGCTCTGAGCTTGTAACTCTTCAGTACATCCCCAAGGCCTCCTCTGGAGAAGGCAATGGCAACCCACTCAAGTACTCTTGCCTGGAAAATCCCATGGATGGAGAAGCCTGGTAGGCTGTAGTCCATGGGGTTGCGAAGAGCTGGACATGACTGAGCGACTTCACTTTCACTTTTCACTTTCATGCATTGGATAAGGAACTTTCATGCATTGGATAAGGAAATGGCAACCCACTCCAGTGTTCTTGCCTGGAGAATCCCAGAGGCGGCAGAGCCTTGTGGGCTGCCGTCTGTGGGGTCGCACAGAGTCGGACATGACTGAAGTGACTTAGCAGCAGCAGCAGCAGCAACAAAGCCTCCTCCCCCAGGTAATGCAGGCCTTTTATGATCAGGCCAAGGATCTGCAGGTCCATCACTCACATCCGGGTCTGGGCCCCGGTTGCCCTGGAATGTCCTCTGGGATGATCTTCACACAACACAGGAGAAGTCATACAACATCATCTTGCTGGACTCCAGTGCGGTACTAAAGAAGCAGTAACAAGAGCTCCTTTTCCCTGTTACTTACTATGAGTCCCAGACGCCGCCAGGAGCAGACACTTATTGTCTCATTTGATCCTCAAAACAGCTCTGCAAGATTTGTCTTACTCTGTTCCATTTGATGGAAACAGAAATGGTGACTTAAGAGAGGTTAAGGAATTTGCCCAAGATAGAGAAGCCAGGATTGGGATGGCCTGGATGCCCTGGTACTGGTCACCAAACATGGGATAAACATGACCAAGGTGACAGGAGACAGGTGTGAATATTTAACGAGTGATGCTATGTCCCAGGCAATGTATTAGTTGTTCATGAAATCTCACAAATATCTCCCAGTTTACGGATGAGAGCACTGAGGATCACAGAGGTCAAAGAACCTGCCCAAAGGCGCACACACCTGGCAGATGTTCCCCATGTTCCCTGAGATTCACTGATAAGAGAAGGAAGGGAGGAATGGAATGACAGTCTCATTTCCTCAGGGAAGTGGGGTCGGGGAGGGGTCCATCCAGGCACTGATATCAGGTCAGGGCTGAGTGGAGCCTTCAAGGAGCAGAGCCTCTGGGGGAGGCTGGAGACACCTCCGTGCAGAGCAGTCTGTGAGTTCTGCTGGGGAGATGTGCCTGGGATCAGCCGGGAGCATCTCCGCAGTTGAGAAGCTGAAAAGCTTTTCATTTGACTGACAGCGTTTTAATGAAAGCACAGCGTGACCTGCCAGCTCTATTTCTTTGTTGTTCAATAGCTTTTCTCCACATCTCTGTCTTGCTGCATTCACGACTCAAAGGCTCTTTAAATTCCTTGCCATCATGTGTGGCTACAATGAACATCATCCCCAGGCTTTTGCATCATCACGTCCTCTCCTCTCAGGGTTGGGGGAGAAGCGGGAGGGCAGGGATCTTTTCTGTTCAGGCTCAGAGCCTGACAGACCCGTGGGAGGCTTGCTCTTCCAAGCTTTACAAACCAACGTCAACTGCCCACATCCCAACACCCAGGTGTCAGAAGGTCAAGACTGCTCCCTCATCAGTGAGGTTAATTAAAAAGCCCAAGCTACGACTTCCCTGGTGGTCCACTGGTTAGGTATATGCCTGCCAACATGGGTTCAATTCCTTCTCTGGGGAGATTCCACGTGCCTCAGGGCAACTGAGCCCATGCACCACAACTGCTGGGCCTGTGCTCTGGAGCCCGTGAGCCGCAACTACTGAAGCTCAAGTGCCCTAGAGCCCATACTCTGAAAGAAGAGAAGCCACCACAATGAGAAGCCCGTGCACCACACCTAGAGGGTAGCCCCAACTCGCCACAACTAGAGAAAGCCCATACGTGGAAAGATGACCCAGCACAGCCAAAAATAAATAATAAAATAAGTAAATAAAAACTTTAGAAAAAACTCCAAGCCAAACAAGGCATTCCTGTTTCAGGAATGTTTGCTCAAGAACCACTCTGAACAGCAAGTTCTTCCTAAGCTCTTTTTCTCCTCATGCTTTCTGGCTTGATTCCATCTGGTCGAACCCCATTCTAGAAAAGGGCAACTCTCACTCCTATCAAATTACAGATTATTTGCTCACTAGGTGGTCCATCCCAAAGGTATAACAGATCCTCCTGACACCTCTGGATACCTCAGGTCCTCTTGGGAGGAACAGACAGGATCGGGACATGACTGCACAGGGGACCGATCACATAATGATCGATAGAGCAAATTGTCTTGAACATTCACTATATGCTGGTACCCTCTTTTCAGTGTTACCATGTTTTACCTCAACTTAATCCTTACGATGACCCACTGAAATAGCGTAGAATGGATCGCATCATATAGATCAGGACATTAGAAACAGCAGAGCCAGGTTCTGACCTGAGGCCAGTGTGGTTCTAGGTTCTGCAATTGTAGTCATGCCACTTACTGACTCTCCACACCCTCCTGACACACACACAGGGTCCCTTGGCTAGCTACCATGGACAACGTTTGCAGCTGGTTTATCCAGGAGAAGCTTCAGAAAGATGCACTACTTAAAGTTAGATGTTCTTGCTGAAATTTACTATCATCAAGGGAGATTATTGTTGTCACTGTTTTAATATTTTCCCCACTCTGTGCACAGCCCTCCTGGGCCATATTTGTGCTGACTTATCTTCTCAAGAAAATTCAGGTCTAGTCCTCCATCACCACTGAAGGCAGCAAGTCGCCTAGCACTCAGGTGTGTGAACAGTGCCGATAACCATCATAGACACTCAATGCTATCCCAACTGTAAATACAAAATTTTGTTGTTTGAAGCCATTGAGATTTAAAATTATTTGTTCCTAATGCAAAACTAAGGCTTCCCTGGTAGCTCAGATGGTAAAGAATCCACCTGCAATGCAGGAGACCCCGGTTTGATCCCTGGGTTGGGAAGATGCCTTGGAGAAGGGAATGGCAACCCACTCCAGAGGAGCCTGGCAGGCTACAGTCCATGGGGTTGCAAAGAGTCGGACAAAACTGGGTGACTTTTACTTTCACTTTAATCCAAAACTGGCCTATCATAACCGATACAATTTGTTTCACTTTAAATGCATCTTCTACTGATAAAAAGCAATGAGTGCTCATTGTAAAAATAGAGACATCACAAAATAGGGAACATGGAAAATGAAAATCCTGTTTCCAACCCTAGAACCACAGTTGCCTGGTTTTCTCTAGTCTGTAGTTTTCTACGTACATACTAATAGATAGATGGATGGATAGATACTATTTTTTAAAAACAAATGGAGGAGGACTTCGCTGGTGGCCCAGTGGCTAAGACTCCATGCTCCCAATGCAGGTGGCCCAGGTTCAATCCTTGGTCAGGGAACTAGATCCCACATACTGTAACTAAGAGTTCCCATGCCACAGCTAAAGATTCCACATGCCTCAACTAAGATCCGGTGCACACAAATAAATTTTTTTTTTTTCTCTTGTCATCTGCAACATGCCTTTATTCTTTTTTTCTTTTCCCATTTATTTTTATTAGTTGGAGGCTAATTACTTTACATCATTGCAGTGGTTTTTGTCATACATTGAAATGAATTAGCCATGGATTTACAAATAAATATTTTTAAAAAATGGAATCATAGACTATGTACTCTTTTGATCCCTGCTTTTTTACTCAATAAAGCCAAGGCAGCTTTCCAAATCATCGCTTGGTGTATCCTCCTCTAGAGATCACTGCTGTCAAGATTGAGACTTGGGGCTACAAAATCACACCCCTGCCCAGCTTCTTGTTCCCCAGGGAAGGTTGCTCTCTGAAGTCCAGCCTTTTTTTCAGCTCCAGGCTCTAAGGCGATGCTCAGCTGCAAGGAGGAGCTGAGTCTGCCTGAAAGGCAGCCTCCCCACCAGCTCAGAAGCTTCATTGAAAAGCAAAAGGCACAGAGAGAATTGTGGCTGAAAAGCAGGGTTTGCACCCTTGGTGTTCAGCTCCTTGGTTGCATTAGGGTAATCAGAGGGGCTGTACTGAAACTGGAAAGGAAGGGAAAGTTTTCCATTACTGATCTTCAAAGGGGGCCCAGATCTGCACTAGAAAGGCAATGTGAACCCAAGCCAGTGAGTCAGGCTCCTGCTGGGTTAACAAAGTATTGAAGTGCTCGGATTAGATGGGAGAGGGGGTTCCAGGCAAGAGCTCTTATGCCAGATACCCAACATCTCAGGATATGGGGCTTGAAACAAAAAGGAATGATGATGGCTAACATCTAAGGAGTAGCACTCTGCTCCAGGCACTTGTTTTCTGGGGTTTACACACAATCATCATTTTCATTTTGCTATAATCTGTTACCTCCAATTTACAGAGAGATGAAATAACTTGCCCAAGGTCACACAGAACCCCAACCCCTCCCCTAGCTAATCTGACTCTCCTCTCACAACCCCCAAACTAGGATGCAAATCCCAGCAAGCTTCCCCAAGAAAAGTGGGCCTTCTTTTTCCAGTTTTGCGTGCCTAATTCCTGCTGCACCTGTCCTCAGAGCAGATCCTCAGCAATTCTCTGCTTATTTAGTGGTGAATGA